GCCAAACTGATGACGTAATAAATCGTAATAGCTGTACATACTCTCCAAGTAAGGGGTCTTTAATTACGTAACTCTAGTCAAACAAAATTTAGACAGCATTTTAAATATCAGAGTTGTGCCGAAATATGTAAGTGATTTGGATTTAATTACACGCACTAATGAAATAATACATCCCCATGGCACTGACACGCACACTACAATATGACACCATATACGAGAATTGGGAAGACCAAATGCCAGTTGTCGCTACGACCAACTGCCAGGGATTTGCATGATGCGGTTACCCTATAATGAATTCTTACAAAAGGAGCTTAAATACTTTTCCTAGTAGTCAGTGTAGTTATCGTCGCTAAGTAAAGTATTACCGGGAGTTTGGTTTAAAGCGACTGCTTCCCCATGGCAAAAGAGTGTTTTTTAACCGTGTATTAAGCAGTGCATTATTCACGGTGGGATTGTATTGCTAGTATAACACTGTATGGCCGTCGTACTTAAGTCATTATTTTTTCGAAATATTTAAATGGGGAATTCCATTCCAATGTACGTGATATACGTTCTGTCTCGCCGTGTATTCATGAACCTATTTCTGGTTTTGATATTCCCAGACTGCATCGGTCCATGGGGGCATACTTAGAGCGCAATGCGTCGGAATGCTGTACAGATTGAATGAGTTGCGCGTTGATACATCACGTGAATGTGGTATAATTTCAGTCATAAGATTTAAAATACTCTTGGCAACTCTCCCAAACGTCGTCATATCTATAACATTTCGGGTATGAAGAGGTCACAAAACACATGAAGAGATAATACAAATACAAATACTCATATTGCGCTTATAATATTCTGTAGCGCGTTCACGCGCGTGTTTGTTCTTTGAGGTTAGGCAACGGAAGTGTATCCGCATTTTAGTTCTGCCATCCAAATAAATTATCTCAGCAGCAGACCGGCAGTACGTGAACCTCATTGACTATATATACGCATATCGCAGATACACTTTCATCTAAATAACAGGTCCGTCAACACACTTGAGAGATGCAGCCACCACCGATATCCATAACGCGGAGGTACTTCCATTGACCTACTCAGGCGTTATTCGGTAATCGAATCACTAGCGTCTTTCGGAAAATGTAATCTTTTTTTCGCGACTGGAACTCAATCAACGCGTAATTTCATTGCATCGTTTAACTTGCAGTGGCATGGTAGATACGATTGCAAACATATTCTTTTAATGCAACCGTAATATTGGAATTAACTCTGAAAATGTAACGAGATTAGAAAAGACGCATGTATAATCATGTAATTTGCGAGCGGGTCAAATATGGACTATTTTACTGTCGCCATTTCTGCAGTATGTCTCATATCTTCCATAAAGTGTCTGTTTAGAGTACTTTGATAGTGGTGGAACATTTTCGAAAATCGTATGATATTTCCAGGCATGTTATATATCAACTTGACATCCTTATGTGACATTTCTAATCGATAAACAAATGGGCAGCTGTCTTAGCTATGGAATTTGCGAAGGTGAATTGTTCATTTTGATTCACCCAGTTTGTGAAAAGTGTTTGAAAATTGGCGTCTTCTTGCAAAGTTCCATACACTTTTTAGGTCGTGAAATTTTGGATGACGGATGTTTTAAGCAAGACACTGTATTGCTGGACGAACATATATTAAATGAATTTGTTGCCAACGTATACAAGGTATCATATACGGTCCATAAACAACTGAAGCTGTTTATGAGGAACAAAGCTGTGTATATACACTTCGTAAGTCTGTTTTAAGGGACATATAAGAAAACTCCAATCTGTTGTTAGCAGCTTAAAGGGATTGACATGCT